ATCAGAACCACACACTCTTTTCTCCTTTTCCACAGGGTTGGAAAAGTGTTTTACAGCTAGTGAGAGTATGGCTTTGTAAGTGCATTAAACAGACCTAATGAGACCCCTGGAGAGACTCAATAGACAACCATCAAATCAATTATCTCTCAATCTTGTGATTGATATTAGCATTTATTATAACTTCATCTCAGCTCATCCTACAGTGAGCTTATCTTAAGGAGTCTCGTCTTTCCATTTAAATTGTCTACTGATATTCATTTCAGCGACCTATATAGGGTCAGTTGCTGGGTTTTGATCTTAAAAGGAACAGCTGTAATTTATTAAATACCTCTTTTCTCATTTACTGTTGGAAAAGAGCCCCCCCTAAAGTTATATAACCTATATGAAGCCACTCTGTTAGTAAATAGGAATGTTTGTGTTTCAACAAGAACTTGGGTTTTTTATTCACTACTGCCCTGGAGAAGTTCCTCGGTCCGCAATCATACTTCAGAGGACCTTTCACTGAGAGTGGTTCTTCAGTTTCCTCTTTGGAGAGCTAAACTGTGGGGAGACTTCCTGCTGGTGTCTAAAGTGCACTTTCAGAGGTATTCTCGCCTCCCCCACCTGCCATGGGACTTTCAATGAAGCTGAGGGTTACCTTCATGCCTCCAATGACAGCCTCCACTCACGGTCTTTTAGGAGCCTTTAGCCCACATCAGCACAGTGATTCCTGTTTGATCACACCGGCTTTGTCTCTGTTCTTTAGTCATATAAAAGCTTGTGTGTTTCTGAATAACCTGTGTGGGTCTGTGTCTTTACCTTTCCTGTCCTTTTTTTTTAAAAAAAAAAAGATGGGGAAAAGGTCATAAAGTGTGGTGACATACACCTGTCATCTGAGCACTTGGGAGACTAGGGCAGAGGTAACCCTGTTTTAAAAAAAGTAACTTTGTTTTAGGCACTTTTGTGTTTTATATGCTTGGCTCTTTAAAGTATAAAGGTGGGTGAAAGCTGCCTACCGCGGTGGCAGAGGATTTGATTTCATCAGCAAACAGTCATGAGCTTCAACTGAAATGTAAAATGCTTTCCTTAACCCCAGGATAAAATAAAATCTCATTTGCTTTTACTTTTCTGTAATAACGCCAATAAGGAGATATTGCCAGGGACGCAAGGGGAGCAGTTGTGTAGCTGAACAAATGGATGGTAAATCTACTTGCCAATTCCTCAAATACTATTAGGGGCACGCACGGGTCCATGCACTCTCCACCCTCTGGTGCACTGTTTGGAGAAAGGTTGAGATACCCTAAGATGACTTAGCATCCAACTGCTGAGACTCACACGTTCTCAAAACCTTCATCTACGCACCAAAGGAAAATGTTCATTTTGATTCACGTTCATCTTGATTAGCATTTATGGACTGGTAGCTCTGAGATATAACATGTGACTGACCCCATTCTAAGTACTTTAATCCAGTGAAATGACATCAGTATTCCCCTGCTTTTCGGAAGAGAAATCATGGCACAAAGAGAATAAAGAGGCCAACCAAGGTTTCTTGGCTGGTGAATGGCAGCCTGGCTGCAGATCCTTTTCTGTTTGTCTCTACACCATACTGCTGCCTCTTGCTGCATATCCAAACAACACCATGAACCATGTTGTTGTTGTTGATGATGATGATGATGTGGCATTGTTTATTGAATCTTAGTTGTGTTCGTAAACTCTTAGGTGGTATTTTTAAGACACAATCTCATTTAATCTTCATAACCTATGGATTTAGATTGTGTGTATGTGGTGTGCGTGTGTGTGTGTGTGTGTGTGTGTGTGTTTGAGTACAAACCAAAGGTCAACCTTGGGTGTCATTCTTCAAGAGCTGTCTACTTGCTTTTCGAGACAAGCTATCTCACTGGGACCAAGGGGTCACTGATTAGGCTAGGCTGACCAGCAAGCAAGCCAGGGATCCTCAGGTCTCCATCTCTCCAGTGCTGGGATTACAAAGCTGTGCTGTTGTGCCTGGACTGAAAGTGAATACTGGAGAGCAGACTCAGGTCCTCACGCCTTCGTGGACAGAACTCTACTGATAAGCTGTCTTTCTAGTCCAGGGTTCACTCAGATTTTATTATGGAGTTAGGAAAACTGAGGCTCAGTGGGCTCAAGGAATTTGTTCAGAATGTATTTGGAATTAAATCCCTCATCCTACTATTTATTCTTTTTCTTCTTGCACAAGTCCCTGATACAGGAAGAAAAGAGAGCGCTAATGTTCTCAGCAGTGCCTCGGCCAGTGTCAACAACTGTTACCAGGGGACACTGACTACCTTCTTGCCTTGCCGTGTCTGTTAAATTGTTAAATCTAGTTACTACTGTCTGCTCTTTCAATTAACAGTTATGAGAGGGCAAAGTAAGAAAAGTAAAAAAATAAAGGACAATTTTCTCTATTTGCTATGAATAGATTCTGGGGAGAGCAAATGGCAGAAAAGCTCATTCTTTAACACATCCGGATATGCCATCTATACTTTTACTGAGATCTAGTTTCTGGAAAACACAGATTCCATAGCAGGGAAGTAAAATAGCAGGACCTGAGTGGTGAGATTTCTTGTTGTTGTGACCCAAAGGCCAAGAGTCTGAAGGAGATTCAGGTATAGAATAGAGACTGGTTCAGCAGCCACGACTGTGGCCTGCAGCAGATGACTCCTTCAAGGTTAAGGGAAGGCTTGAGTAAGCTAAGCCTTTGTCTGAAGCTCAGAAAACCAGATAGAACTGGTACTTAAACCCTCCTGAGTTGGCCTGAAGGCTCATTTAGGTCTCTCAAATCCTGTCTTCTGTTGAAAGGATACAGAAAGAATCTTAGGGCATGAGGACAGGGATAGACATTTGGATGACGGTGCCCCTGCTTCATGGTTTCTGTGTGGAACAAACCTTCCTTTAAACTATCAATTAGCCCTGCTTCTCAAACCTAGGATTACATATTAATGCCATTATTCTCAGATAAACTTCCAAATATAAAAAAGAGTCAATGTCAAGAACTCCAAATAAAAATGTTCCTAAATATTCAAGGAGGTTTTCCTTCACATCTGTCTGAGAAATCTTGATGGAGACTTTAAGAAATTAAAAATAAACTGAGTGTGTCAACCATAGGTGGCAGGGTGTGTCAAGCAAGGCAAATTGTGCCAACATGGTTCCATATATCCGTCTCTTTTGTGTCACGTTAACAGAGGACAAAGAAACACAAGTCTCAAATGACGTTTGTCCCCTTTTATGGGAGTAGCTGTTCCCCTTATGAAAGATGTTTACCGTAAATACAAATAAACCATCCTTAAACAACTTGTAAAATATTAATAAAAAGACTAAAATCAACTCTGATTCAGTATCTACACCAATCTGTGCGTATTCAAGTTGAGATTCTCGGGGGCTGAGAGAGAGATTGTATAGAATACAGTGACAGAGGTGGCTAACAAGCCACCAAAGCATTTGAAAAGTTAGATACAGTGGTTCCTTTCAACAAAGGATTTCTCCATATGGGGCGCAGTCTACTTCACCTGCATGTGGAACAGAAAAGTTATAGGACATGCCTATCTGCACATAGATTTGGTTTTGATCTTCAGCTCCTAAAATTTACATCTTGATGTTGCTTTATTTCTGGGCATAGCTCTAGGAAGCTGCTTCCAGCATGGACCTGGAGTACTTATGAGTTATAGCTATTCAAACCAACTTTTCCTCCACCCCAATAACCACACCCCTCCAGAAATCTTAATGTGCTTTTGAGAGCTTCAATTTAGAGCTGGCTGCATAAAATGATCCTTTGATGAAAAGGAATTGGAGCAAGGTTAAAGCAGACATTGAAAGGTTACTGTAGAGGGCACAGCATTCATACAACCCTCCTTTAATATGTGTGGTGTGCACCTGTGATAAGATGATTCATTACATGGGGCCTCTCTTTGACAAGCTCCATCGTTCAGCCCTTGGGTCTCTGATGGGACAATCCTACACCCGCCCAGGAAATATAACAAGGTCAGCTTTTTCTTCCCTTGGGCTGTAGATAGAGATGGTTTAGCTTATAATGCATCTTTGCTTATGCTTTAAGTAAAATTTTTTAAAAAAAACAAGAGTTTAAAGGTATTGCGTTTCCTGGTTTTGCAGTGCAACTGTGGCAGGGAGCTATGTAAACACACCGCTGAGTAAAGAAACATTGTTCTCTCTATAATCATCTTGGCCGCCCTGGAAAACTGATGTCACTAAAGACCGAGGCTGGACTCTGGCTTTCCATTGGAGGGCACCGTGACATCATCAGCTTCGATTCTGCTCTGCTGTTTTTCTGTAACCTCCAGGGTTCCCGATCACCGAAGCTCTATCATCTGTCACCTCGGTGAACATGACATGGGCACATGAACCTTACTGGAGAGTGGGTGCTCTCCTGTGATATGGGGGAGGGCTTAGAGGACCTGACAGGTTAGCGATAATCAACAGGCATGCAAGAGACCTCCCGAGTCCCTGAAAAATCAGTGAGAGGGCTAGGGGCTGACTGGAAGCTGGCATCTAGTGCCCCTTTCCTTTGGTGACTTGAATAGGACTTTGCACTGATTCTCCACACATGCATATCTTGGATTTACCGAGCTTAGTTTAGACACATCAGAGTAACCAGCAACCCATTACACTGGAGTTGTTAAAAGTGGAAAATTAAAAAAAAAAAGCAAAGCAAGGTTTCCTTTCCAAAATTCAATTTTTGATTGTTTATTTCCAAGAAAGTTCCAGAAACGAGGAAGGAATTCTTTAACTCAGGGCATAACACTAGTCATCTCACAAAACAAAACCAAAATAAAACCTTGACATTTTAGGGGGAAGAAAGAAAAATCTTGCTTCTGAAATAGAGAAACACTTCCCAACCCCTCTCCTAGTCTTGACATTGCTAGTAAACATTATTTATTTGCCTCAAATAGATGCAGCTACATATCACTGTCATGCAAAAGAAATCCATTCCCTTTCTGAGTTCAATCTGCCATAAAAATTCACTCTTCCTCCCATCTCCCACTCACCTGTCCTTGTGCATTAGTAACTAGTTGACCTGTGACCCCCTGAAGGCTGGAGAGGGCATTGCCAAAGGCCTGTGAGCTTGCTATGGAGCCCATGGCTGCTGCAGCAGCGGCGGCCTGACTTGCTAGAGGATTATTAACCAGCTGCAAAGAAAGAAAAGATCAGGGTGAAAACCACCATGAGGCAGGGTAACCACACAGTGACACAACTCTCCCTCCAGCTTGCTCATGCAAAGAGCCCCGAGCCCACTGCAGGGTCCCAGTAAGCGATTCCTTGATAGGGGCCAGGGACAAGGTGGGGGCTGGACTTTGTCCACCAATGCTGGCTACTCGGTGGAGCCTCTGCTGAGGTACTCCTAGGAGGGATTTAACCTGAATCTGGGAGAGATCACTAATGAAAATTCCAAGGAAACGTCAGCCTTCCTTGAAATCATCACGATAGTGAAGCACGATGGGCGGAGGAAATGGATGCCCACAGGATTTGGGGATGGATTTATCATCTCTGTGAGGGAATCACAGTTTCTTCAGGGTCTTTTGGGTAAGGCAAGTTTCTCACCTCAGTTCCCTTTTTGAGGTTAGAAGCAGCCAAAATCAGTGAAAGCCCAGCTTCTGTGACTTCACAGAGATGGGACACTTGGTCTTATGTTGAGGAGAGATTCAAAGTCACTGGTGAATGGTCAAGCTGACAGTTGCTTCTAGCTTTACCTAGTGTGTGGCCTCTTCCCTGGGACAAAAGTTTAGCAGGAAGCCAGAAGTGGGAGACAGACCAGCACAGGCAGGAGGTTATGGCTGCCAAATTCTGTTTTTCCATAGAGACCAATTCAATATTCTTTATCCTGCCAATTTTCCACACCACAGGTTTTCAGGCCTTCTGACCATGAGGCAGAAGGGTGGCAGGAACTAAAATCTGCATTTAGGTTAATGACTAGATATAAATTCAAGAAACATTTAAACTATTTTCACAGTATTGGTTTTGATACATGAATTTCATTTGTATTTATTCTAGGGTGTTATTTTTTTCCTCCGTATAGTTTCTCTCAAGTACAACAATTGTGTATAATAATGCATTTTCCATCACCGGCTTCCACATCCATGCAACTCCTGCATTTTAGCAGAGACCTGCCAAGGCTAGGGCCTGGTGGAAAAGGATTAAAGCCATACTTAGTTCAGACCTTGGCTCTTCTAGAGTTCCTATTTTATTATTGTTATTTTTAAACTTTCTTTCTACTTTTAAAATGATCTTTATTCTTCTTCCCCCCTCTCTGTTTTTCCCTTTTATTCTTTTTCATCTCAAAAAAAATATTCTGTGCTTTAATTATTTTGGAAATTTGCCCAGAGTTTTACATCATTTGTTGAGAAAGGAAATAATAATCAGAAAAAATGAAAAAAGGAATTTAATAACTTTTTGTTAATGTATATCCTTTTCAGATTTTTTATTTACTTAGAACCAAATCTCATTGACCTAGCACATTGTTTTAGAAAGAAAAATCCACTTTAAACTCAGTGCTTTATGTCTTTCCTTTTATCTCTCTCCTAAGGAAAAAAAAACTATGCTTTTTTTTAAGGAGAAAAAAAAATCCTTCTTTGGCCTATAGAAAAACCCTGTCCTATCCCAGATTACCACCATGGGATTTAACATTTAGGGTAGCCTTGATCTTGGAATTTTGAGTATGACTATAGAGTGCCAGTGACTATGGCTGTGGAATGGGAAGTGTTGTAGTCTGAATGCCCACAACAGATGGTCCATATTGTCTTCTTGATGACCTGTGCCTCTAGCACCCAGCACAGACAGCACACACTGGTGTATCGTTCTGAGTTCTTTTGCGAGGGCTCTGCTTGCATTGCTTCTATGCATGAAGCCGAAATGGTAATGAAAATTCCTGGAATCATAGAAAGAACTTCTTATCCCTCAAAGAATGATTAATTTATGTGAAGTTTGCTCTTAATTTTGAAAAGACAATTTTGTCCATGATTGTGGGTTAAATTTTTCAGTTTGTACATAGAAAATGTACAAACTTATCTTCTTTAGAAGATAGGCAGTTATTCCTGTTTAACCAAGAGCACACAATTTGTTCAATTGTCAAGCACTTATTTGATATATTCTAGGTCAACCAAGATATCATCTGGGAAACAATGGACCGACCGTCTGGGTGGAACACAGTAATGGAGACTGAGAACTCCCTGCATCTCAGACAGCAGTGTACTGTTCACCATTGTCCTTTGTGTTTGCTGCAAAATCTGAAACTTCACAGAGAACTCATTTTGAATATAAAGCCAATAATTTACTTAAAAAAAACTGCCAAGTCTTTGTGCTTAAGGGTTGGAAATGGGGAATAGGTGTTTGAGAAGATTGCTTAAGCACCACGAAGGTGTGTTTGGTTTACTGACATTTATTTCCTCTGTGCCCTGGTCTTATGATTTCCCTGCCCTAATGACATTTCTATGTGTCTCTGCATGTGAACACATGTGGGTATGAGTGCTTGCATGCATTGTCTTTCCATCTGAAAGGGGAAAATACCAACGTAGATGATTATATATATGTATGTATATATTTGCTCCGTTTTGCAGAACCAACCCAGGTTTTATATATTCTAGACAAGAACTTTGCTATTGAGCTGTATGTCACTAGCCCCAAATGACTTTCTTCATTCCTGTCCAGCTAGCTCCCTGCTTTGTGTTTGTGAATGGCGTCTGATTCTGGGGAGATGTCTGACTGGCCATGCTCTAGAGCTAGACTACCGACACCCAATGTGGCCTTGTGGTACACACAAGTCAGTGTGAGAGTGACTTAGATGGTGTTCATGGTCTATACAGTTTCACAAATACTTCTAGGCTCTTCTGTCTGTGACTCCCTGGGCAGTGATGCACTGCCATTAAGATAAGTGGCAGGGGATGGGGAATGGTCATCACCTCCGGCCATGTCATCCTGTGTTGTTCACAGTCATGTCACATTAGCAGTGTTCCTATCACTGTTTCTTCCTAGCTGGAGACTCAGGGTAGATTTGGACAGCTGTGAGCTCATGCACGATAAATGCATATAATGAGCGCAGTGATGTTCCAGGGCCACTTGGGCACTTTGAGGTGGCGGCCAAGTTTATGCCTTCATAGCTTTCACTGCCAATGCACCTACTAGGAAAAGGCAGCCTGGGAGAAGTCCGACTGTATCACATGGTGTATTTTCAACAGATCAGTTCAGGACATGCTGGTTTTGGTGTGTTCTTGTTATAAATACAGGAAGGCTCAGAGGAAGGATTTGCTGCGAATTCTCGTTTTCCTGTTACATCCTGAGCATATCAAGCCGTGGCTTTTGAGATCCACAGCTTGTCTAATAATCCACTCACCGAAACACCCATTTCCTAAGACATTTCCCCTTTTAGGGTTTTACAAAATAAACAAAATAATTCAGATGCAGTTGTGTACCACTGAAATAGGACATGGAACCTCACCTTTCCCCTGTCCAGGCAGGAGAGAGTCGGGCAGCAAAACCAGGTGGTCTCAGTAGATGTAAGAAATTCAAACCTTGTTTTATATTCTGGATATAAGAGGCGGGGAAATGAGAGCCCTGATAGGAGTGTGATGAGAATCAGACAAGAGTGTGCCGGTGAGAGCTCTGGCTACACACCCGTAGCTCACGCTGCTAACTCTCCCACCTCCATGCACATTTTACTTTAGGGTTTTCTGGTTTTGTCTGTTGTTTGTTTGTTTTCAGCAGGGTCTTCCTCTGTAGCCCAGGATGGCCTCAAATGTTCTGTGTATCTAAGGATCACCTTGGACTCCCGATTTCCCTCGTCTCTACCTACAGTTATTTATTTCTGTGTTCACAAATCATTATGGTGCTGATCTCAGGAGAATAAATGCATATTTTCAGGTTTAGATGCATTGTGTATCTCTTTGTTGTTTATGGACATTAGATTATGTTGGAAAAATTAACGAAGTCATCCAGAGAGCAGCCTTCAGAGGCACCGTGGACGTCATCTACAGACGTCATCTTCAAGGATGTCATCACAGCACAGAGCAATGCTTTCTCCGTTTTTCTGAGGGATTGCTATCCTGCATCTTGGTAAAAGACTCGTGTTTCTGAAAGTTGAATATAAGCAGTGACAACATTTTTAAAGAAATCCCTGTTTAAATTATAAGAGTAAAACTCATTTGCATAAATAGGACAGTACGATGATGCGGTTTAGCTGTGACATGTGTCTGAATTTTTGCTTACGTCCCAAGAGGGCTCTCTGGAGTCATAGGCACAGAGCCGTCCTGGTGCTTAAGGGCCCATGGTCCAGGGTTCTAGCATTCTCCTTAGGAGCCATGTGGATTTCACAGAGTGTGGGTTTAGGAACAGTTCTTTTTCCTACTAACTTTTAGTTTAGAGTCTGGGTATGCGATCCCATTTCATTTTAAATGAGGAAGCTGAGAAGCGCATTTATCACAGCTGACTCCTCATTTAACGTCCAAATAACTCGCTGAGTGTTTAGAAACAGCCAGGAAAATACTGCAGTGTTCAGTTCATCTACGTAATTAAGACTTTGCTTTTCCTTTTACTTATATGTGGGAAAGAAGCACATCTCTTGTGTTTTTGGGATTCTTTAATCAAATCAGTACTTCTGCTCCTCAACTCTTAAGGTGGTGAGGGGAGTTCCCGTAGACACGCATTGGATGTCTGTTCCAATGAGCTACTTCCCCTGTGTTTTATGCAGCGAGGCTTTCACCTGCTCTATGATTATTGCTGCGTGAGACCCCTAGAGCAGTTGGAAACCATTTTCAAGTGTTTTCATACTGAGCTGATCCTTGGCTCTCTCACTTCCTGCTGTATTGTGGAGATGGTTCTGTGTTAAATGCTGTCTGTTCAGTTCAACATCTGTCATACAAACAAAGGTCTTCAGTGATCTTTCGGGTGAGGTGTCCTGAAGCGCTTTACTAACCTAAAACCTAAAACACTTTGTTGTCATAAAATCACACCGGTCTTCATACTTCTGAAACTAATCTTAACCATCAACTGACAAGCATTGTAGCTTACTATTTTCTAATACCTAGTCATATTGCCTAACTGGAATTTTAGCAGATAATGTGATGTGTGTGCTGATTCCCTAGCCACAGGTCAGGGACGAGAGAAGTCTGGTCCTGCGGAGTTCTGGAGTGTGAATGGG